GTAATTGGGGGAGGAGCATTCTCATTTATAGAGAGCATGTGATTGGACAAATATTTGAGCGTGTGATGAATCCGTGTTTCTGGAACAAACCGGTTCCTGGTTCAGCAGTGATGACGGACCCGTGTGTATCGAGACGCTCTCCGCTGAGCCCAGTCGACGGATTAGTGGATTAAAGGTCTTGTTAAATCTCTCTCGTTCTTTGTCTTCCTGTACGTCTCTCTCTTTGTCTGTCTTTTTCATTTTCTCTCTATATTGCTCGTCAGAAATCTCAGTTTGTTGCTCGTCTAATACTAGAAAGAAACATACTTTAATACGGTTATTTTTATGAATATCAAGCTCATTAATAACAGCAGCTTGGTTAGTTATCTAATTGGACAGGAACTGCATTGATAAGACCCAGATATTATTTATATCACCCAAACCCATGAATAATTCACAGCACTTCAGATTGATGTTGACTGGACCAGACCGGACCGGACTGGACTGTAGATATAGAAGCAGAACTAAACTGTTGTCATGCAGTCTCCACGTGTCAATGCATTTTGGCAGGACTTGTGTTTCTTTCCCCTCCAGACTGTAACTCTGAGCCGGAGTGGAATTACACACACACACACACACACACACACACACGCGCGCTCACAGGTTTGAGGGTTACCTGAGCAAACGCTCTCTGGTTTCCTGCTGCACTCTCGGCACACGTGATGCATTATTGATGCTCTTCTGCTGCATCTCTATCACAGCCACTCACCGGATCATCTTACACTCGTACATACACCAAACCCCACCGTATAGTGGGCATGCAAGATATGTTGCACAATATCAGACATTTTATTTATTTATTTGTAGTTTTAAGATTTTATTCATTTATTTATTGTATTATTAATAATAATAATAATCTTTTTTTTCTCTTCTTTTTTTTTGGTTGTTGTTGTTCATTTATTTATTGTATTAGTATTAGATTTTTGTTTTTATTTATTTGTTTGTTTTTAATTTTGCTTTTATCTTTTTATTATACTTTTTTGTTTTTGATTTATTTGTTTATTTTTTGTTATTTGTTTATTTTTTGTATTATCAATTATCTTTTTGTTTTTGCAATATTATTATTTTTTGTTTTTATTATTGTTATTTATTTATTGTATTTATTTTTATTTGTCTATTTTTTTATATTTTTTATTGCAATATTATTTTTTGTTTTTATTATTGTTATTATTTATTGTATTTTTTATTTGTTATTTTTTATTTGTCTATTTCGTATTTATTGTATTGTTGTTGTTATTTTTTGTTTTTATTTCTAGTCATTTATTATTTATTTAAAATAAATAATTATTCATCTTACATACTGTACACTATAGTGGAATGATGTCACCGTCCCACAGGTGGGACGTTTGCCATTATATTTTTAAAACAATAATATCTTAGTAAAAACCTTAAGTAATATTGACAAACTATATATCATTTGAAAGCTTACAATCTCTAGTTTCCATATTTGGTGACTGATTTTCAAAATAAATTACAGAGGAGCCATAATTTATCAATTTGCAACAAGAATATTTCCATACTCCTAAGGCGTGTTCAGACCTTTATTTTGAAATAGTGATGAACATGAAAAATCATGAAAAAATGGTAGAAACCTCAGTTTGTTTTCATGCCAAGAGTTCAAAAGATAGCATCCATTCAATTATTTTAGAAAAAAAGGTCTGAAAATGTTTAAAATATAAAGAAAAAATAAATAAATTCACCATTTGTGATGTGGCAGCGAGCTATAACGCACATACGTGTTCTTTGTATGTGTTTCTTAGAAGTTGAATTCATATCAAAATCTGCCAAACTTCTCATACTACTTCTGAATAGGATGTCAACTTCCTAAATTGTATGAAAATCGTGGAAATAATGGTTCGTATCACTCAAAACACATATGGAAATGGAGGCGCCCTTATATGGGCAGTAATGGTTGTGCCCTAGTGAAAAAGTTTGGTGCGCCCAAACAAAATCTCACTGAAAGCTCATTTTTTTTGAGATATCAACCTAAAATTTGAAACACAACTTGTTCAGATTTTTGGCTTTGATTTTTCTGCAGTTTTAGAGTAGCCCAGGTTTTGAAAATATATATTTTATATAAAATATGAATAATTATTTTTTTTACATTGTACATTTCCATAAACTCAAACTTCTATAACTTTTTTTCTTTTTCACTTTCTTAATTCTACAAAAATCTGCCAAATGTCTTCTTTAAAACAAGACCAATCTTACGTCTATATTCCAAAGCATTCTTGAATTACAACCATTTAAGTTCGAAATGTGCATTTTCATGTAATTTTCAAAAAAGTGGGGTGACACTTAACAGGTTAAATTCATTTACAACCTTTTTATTTTTCTTCTTACAAAGTATTGTGGATGTTTAATATCAGCATTTCTCTGTTGTCATCCTCAGCAGTCTTCACTGAGAGCTCAGATTGATATTTTGGCTAAACAGTGTTACTGTGAACATGTAAAACTGCTGGCGGGTTGGGATGAGCTGATTATAATGAGCTGACTGAGCGCGAGAAGAGTTTCTCCTGTTTCTCATTAATCTGCTTTATCTGATCCTGAGCTTTCCTTCTAATCAGAATTGGACAAGCGCTGCACGGGTCCTGATCCGATTGCAGCGTCCGGTTGCCGTTTCTCTCCTCTGACCCTCGCTCTGATGGACTCTGACTCGCGCTGTTCTTTTGGGGTTTCATGACAGGTTTTTGAAGATACTTTGGCTCTCTGTGTGTTTCATCCATTAATGCAGAATTCAGGGTTTGTCAGGCAATGATTGGATAAACAGAGCTGTTCTTTTCCCAGGTCATGTGTCTGTCTTTTATTTGAGTTTTGCTTTGGTAACTAAGAGTAACGGGTCAGTTTGTTTGGCTATAATGATCAATAGTGGCTGAGAATACAGCAGCTGTCAGAGGTGGATGTGTGTGTGTGTGTTACCCATAATCCTCAGTAAACCCTTTTCTCAGTCTAAGTTTTAAGCAGGAGTTGCAATATAGAACGTTTTATTATACGTTTTGTTTTACATGGTTTCTATGCCTACAGTCACATTACATTAAACATGACGTGTCTTCTGATTGGCTGTGATTGTGTCAAGAGGACAGACAGACTTTCTTTTGGCTAGAAACTTGCTTTGGACACGAGAAGAACAGCAATATTGCAGTAAACAATAAGCTGTAATCTGCACACTATATTTATGTACATAATAAAGTGGCTGGTGAGTGTGTGTGTATGTAATTATGCATGCGTGTGTGTGTGTGTGTGTGTGGACGAGGGAGACGCATTCCCGTTTACACCTGGTGTTTTAATCCGTCTCTTTTGTCAAAATGCCGCTTTAGACCCCGTTTACACCTGTATTTAGCGTCGTCCGTTTGTGATCCGATCGACCGAAACGCATCTTAATACCAGGTGTAAACGGGGCCATAGAGGTCGCTGACCTCTGTTTCAGACACTAATGCAACCAAAATGATTCCTGTTTTGGGAGAGTTGGTCTTGCGTAACTACAGCAGCAGATTATCGTGTGTGTGTGTGTGTGTGTGTGTGAGTGAGTGATGGTGGGCTGCGAGCGATGTGTGCCAGATGTTTCTCTCTCAGAGCTTCTAATACTCATTCTGCTTTAATCTCAGAGCTGCACTAACACAGTCGATCAACAGAGGCCGGATCACAACCACGGCTTCCCGGAATCTCTCTCTCTTTAAAGAGATAATCATCATTAATGCAAATGCCTCCAATCCCTCTCTCCCGCTGTGTGCGGAACAAAATTTGGAAATTAAAATGATCAACTGTTTCAGTCTGTATTTAGCAGTCAGAGCTGTAGTTGCTGTTTAAAACGTTTACTTATATTTCACAAATTCATTACACACACATCTGTAGGTGTCTTAATGTATCTGAATTCTAATGCAGAATCGCATGCATGCTTCACAGAAGGTTATCCCAGACAAAATCCATAATAAAACATTTATTTATTTATAGAAAAGAGGAAGAAATTAATATTTTTATTCAGCAAGGATGCATTAAAATTGATCGAATATGACATTTATAATGTTACAAAATTGTACAACTTTAGAAATGTCCTATGCACTCGATCTCTCGATGTGTGTGGGTTATTTTCAGTGTCTTATTTAATGCACCAGTTTTAAAAACAGTTTGTTTAACCCTCTGGGGTTGTTCGGCCCAAATGGACCCGAAGCATTTAAATAATTTTTTTTTTTAAATCATAGCTTTATCGGAATGGTCCGAAATTTGGTGACTTTGTTGGTACTTGGTATATGAACACCCAAAAAAATTAGGGACAGGATTTGAATAGTCTAAGTGGTTGTAAAAAAAATAGTCACACTCAGGACCTTCGGGTCCAAATTGACCCGCATAGGAAATGAATGGGAAATTGGCAAAAATGTGAAAATACAGAGTTTTTTTGTGCGTACAATCTACAAATCAGCCACGATCCAGAAAAAAAGCACACAACAGTGAAGGGGTGAATCTATAAAACATCAAGAGTGCAAAACAGACACATCCACACACACACAAACACACTTTTATACACATACACACTAATAAATTCAGATTACATATGGGTTTTGAATTTTTAAAATGCTCAGTTTGTCCACCATTTCAAAAATTGCTTTCATGAGGCCTAGGCTTGACTCAAAAATGAAATACAGCTTTAAAAACATTTTAAAATTTAAAAAAAAAAATATATATATATTATATTCAATGGGGAAAAAATGGGTCATAATTATTGCATTAATATTAATTATAAATAATTTTTATTTTTGAAATTATCTCAAAACACCAAAAAAGAAAAGAAAAAATATTATAAAAAACAAGTAAAAAAAAAAAATTTCTTTTTTTAAATATGAATCCTGCCCTTTGGGTCCATTTGGACCCGAACACCCCAAGTGTGACTGTTAAACGAACAACCCCAGAGGGTTAAAGTAAAAAAAATGTCCTGACACGCTTCACTCTCTGTCTTCCTCCTGCAGGTGTGTCATAAACCCAAACAGAAGTCATCCGAAACGCCTCGCCGCTCATTTCCCGTCGGGTGAGGAGGGTGTCTGCCCATGCACGGCACCATGGGAAGCTCCCCGGAGGTGCTGTCCTGGACATCGTGTCCCAGTCTGCTAGTGGGGAAGCTGAAGGAAGAGCTCAAGCTCACGGTCGTCGGAGACTCAATCAAGAAAACCAGCAGCAACATTTCTCCTCAGGCTCTTCTGCCTCCTCCACCTTCTCCTCCACAGATCATCTCAGACCTCGCTCCTCCCACAACTCTTCCCGTTCCTCTTCAGCAGCTCTCAATCCCGTGCAGAGACGAGGAACCAGGCGGGATCAGTCCTCCGTGCACCGCTCTCAGCGAGGACTCCACGCGGGAACAGGGACACTTCGAAAACAGCGTGCTTCAGCTGCAGGAGCACGAGGAGGCCGAGTCTCCGGGGTCCTGCGGTCAGGGAGGCTGTGGAAGCGGCGGAGAGGAGAAGAACGAGGAGAGCGGGTGTCCGGTGGAGCACAGCGGGAACGGCACGCACCACCTCCCGCATGACGACATCAAACTGCACTTTCATAGAGCCGGGCCGGTGAACGGAGGGTTCCTGGAGGGGCTGTTTGGATGTTTGAGACCCGTGTGGAATATCATCGGGAAGACTTACTCGACTGAGTACAAACTTCAGCAGCAAGGTTAGTGGCGAGTACGTTCAGGGCTTGATTTTATTTTCCTGCCCTTCCAAAAAAACCATCATGCTCATATTGTGAAAGAATGGTTTGGAGGGAGCAAAAGGAATCATTTTCACACATGAATTTGTAACATACCATCTTAAATTCCAAAAGAACGAAATCACTTTAAAGATGTAGGGCATCGGTTCCCAACAGGGGGGTCGTGTCCCACATCAGCGAGCTCTGTGGGGGGTCGCGTCATATTTTGAAAGGTTTGAGCAATGAGCATCAAATAAAAGTCCTTAAAGTCCCCATGAATTCAAAATTGACCATACTTACTTTGTTTGCCTAAATTGATCGTTTTGTGGTGAACAATTCATCCATGCAAGTCAATCCACACAAAAAAAATTTTGGCTTCGTAATCTTTAATCAAAATCTGAAATTTCCCCTCCCCTCTGCGTTGGAGGACCTTCCCTGATGACGTAGGTTTGACGGTTTGGGCGTCGTCTTAACATCCGTAACCACGCCCCTCCAACTGACAGTAGACAGGCTGAATGAAAACACCTACTTTTCTAGATCCAACCAGGTGCTAGTTGGAAAAAAAAGCCACGCCCACTATTTTGCCTCATTTAGTATTCCGTTTCTCTCGGAAATACGTCACAACACTGGAGAAAAGTCGTTTGCAACTTCCGGTTCACGGGGACTTTAACTTTTTTCTGTTCAAAATGTACAAAATGTATATAATGAGCGAGTTCATCATGAATCCATTTTCCAATCCGTGTTTTTGTCTTATCCTGAACCACTATGGCACACCTATAATAAATGTTTACATTGGGACTATTTTACACTGGTTCGGATCGCTGGTGCTGCGGAGTAGCCCAGTGCCTGCGTGACTCGTCATAGACGTACACTGAGAGAAGTAGTTCCGGCTACAATGTTCTTCCGAAAGACGCATTATTCTGTTAATAAACGCAAGTTTATTATCGCTCGCTATAGCGCCTAAAGCGTAAAACAAATAAAGCCTCACATTGATAAAGCCTCACAAATAACATGCAAGTATTAAGGCCCCAGACAACAGTCATTTAGTAATAGCCTTTATTCTTTCTTTTTTTTTACCTGCACACCAGTGTGAATATTTTTGTTTTTGCATTTCAAATAGGGCCGATATATAGGCTTCTCCTAGGCTTACGTTTTTAATCCTCTGGGGTTCTTCGGGTCAAAAAAGACCCGAAGCGTTTAAATAAAAAAATTTAAAAAATCGTAGCTTCATCGGAATGGTCCAAAACTTGGTGACTTTTTTGGTACTTGGTATATGAACACCCAAAAAAATTGGGGACAGGATTTGAAAAGTCTAAGTGGTCGTAAACAAAATAGTCACACTCAGGACCTTCGGGTCAAAAATGACCCCCATAGGAAATGAATGGGAAATTGGCAAAAATATGAAAATACAGAGTTTTTTTGTGCATACAATCTACCAAACAGCCAGGATGCAGAAAAAAAGCACACAACAGTGAAGGGGTGAATCTCTTAAAACAATGGGTGACAAAATGTTTTTTATTTGTTCTTTTTATAATGCAATGTTCAGGTTTGAATGTATTATAAAGTAAAACTGCCACTTCAAATTACCATTTAAACCAACCAAATTTTTTTTTTTTTTTTTTTTTTTTTTAAATGACAAAAATAGTCTTTGAGAATCTGTTATTATATTTTCAAATCAACAACCTGAAAAAAATTAAACAATATGTGAAAAAATCACTAGAGTGTTTCTACCATAGGTTTCTACAGAGAGCTGTAAATACACTAGTGGTAAAAATGTGCTATTGCGTGATAAAAATGCTCAGTGTGTCCACCAGATGGCTCCGATCTCATTTCAAAAATTGCTTTCATGAGGCCTAGACTTGACTCTAAAATGAAATACAGCTTTAATAAAAAAAATGTTTTTATTATATATTTATATAAATTTTCTATTATATTCAATGGGAAAAAATGGGTCTTAATTATTGCATAAATATTAATTATAAATCATAAAATTATCTCAAAACACCAAAAAAGAAAAGAAAAAATATTATTGAACAAAAATATATTTCATTGATTTTACTCAAATAAAATGTATCTTAATGCCGCCCTCCGGGTCATTTTTGACCCGAAGGTCCTGAGTGTGAGTCTAAAATGAAGAACCCCAGAGGGTTAAATTACAAAGGGCGTACTGATGTTTTTGTTATTGTATTTTCAATATTATAGGCTATTATTTGTGCATAAACATACCGTTTGTTTGAAAAAAAAATAAAAAATTTGTCATGCTTGCTGCAAGCTTACAAGAGCGATAATATCATTAAATGTGAAGGGGGGCCCTAAAATATTTTCTTGGGAAAAAGGGGGTCTCTTTCTTGGGAGTTTTTGCAGTGATTATATTTAAGTGCCACACAAGTAACAACAAACGTATTCACCCTCCACAACAGCACCCGTATATACAAATCAGTTTAAAAGTTTGCGTGATAGAAAAACCTGAGTTTCCAAGTTATAAGCCTCCAATGTTGTAATGAGTCCAGCGTTCTCAGAGTCAATGACGCCACGGTAATTTCAGTCAGTAAACATCCACGGGAAGATCCACAGGTTTAAGCAGTTCAAAGACGACAAACTCAGTCAATATAATCCATTGGTAATTCCCACGCGCACTTATCATAAAACAGTCCAATAGAGGAACTTGTCTCAAGACTTATTTAGCATTTGCTCAATTAGAAATGAGTGGCAAAGAAAAAAACTATTTCCCCTCAAAAAGCCAAACCACAGATGAATACAATGAGCTCCAGCTCACATCCCTGTTTTAGTTAACAGTGAATTCAACCTAGAACTGTTACAAATCGTCCAGACCTTAAATGTATTAAAAGTCTTTGGGATGTGCTGGAGGAGGCTTTACAGAGTGCTGGACTCTTGCGTTGACAATACAAGATCTTGAGCAAAAAATGATGCACTTCTTGATGGAAATAAATGTTGTGATGTTATTTCCACCAAGAGATGTATCAGTTTTATTGTAGCACTATATGAATCGTATTTTCTGATATTGTTCAAAAATAAAATAAACTAGTTCTACAGTTGATGTTTTGATGATCTTTGCTGTGGTTTTGATTTGTGTTTTGATACCGTGTTCCCGGTGCTTTCTGATTGGTCAGTAGACATGTGGGAGGTGCCGTTCGAGGAGATCTCTGAGCTGCAGTGGCTGGGAAGTGGAGCTCAGGGCGCCGTGTTCCTCGGGAAGTTTCACTCCGAAGAGGTCGCCATCAAGAAAGTCCGCGAGCAGAAGGAGACGGATATCAAACACCTCCGAAAACTGAAGCACCCCAACGTCATCAGCTTCAAGTAGGTCACAGTGTCAATGCCCACTTTACAGGACCAGATACTTGAGATAAATGCTTAGTTTTGAATTCAGGGGCCGGACCTTACTTAAGAAAAAAATTATATTTACTTCTTCTTTTTTTTTTTTTTTATGATCAAAGTCTTGAAACAAATCTCCTTAACTGCTTAAAGTTAGGATTACCTCTAACTTGTCTTAAAGGGATAGTTCACCCAAAAATGAAAAATGTCATTTACTCACCGTCAAGTTGTTCCAAACCTGTATGATTTTCTTTCTTCTGCTGAACACAAAAGATATGGGTAGAATATTGAACCAAACAGTTGATGGACCCCACTGATTTCCATAGATCGTTTGGAAAAAAATACTACGAAAGTCAATTGGGTCAACCAACATTCTTCAAAATATCTTCTTTTGTGTTCAGCAGAAGAAAGAAATTCGTAAAGGTTTGCAACAACTCGAGGGTGAATAAATTAAAAAATGTTGTGTGAACTATCACTTTTTATCCTCAAAGGTAAAGATGTTTTATGAATTTGAGTTGTTCCAAATTAAGTGTTGTAATTAACACTAACTACATATAATATGATGTGCACAAGTTCTCTGGAGGCACACCAGTGATGATGATGTAAACATTAAAAACAAGTCGCATGACGATTTAAAAGGCATGGCACATTAAAAACACGACACCGAAGTGCTGAACTCCCGTTATGCTGGTCGTAATGAAAACAGTCTGCACGCTTGCTATGATTATGACGTTAATCTGCAGACAGTGCAAAAACACGGCCTTTGATGTGTTTTACTTTCTTTTTTTGAGTTGATCTAGTCTTGGGAAAATGCCAGAGCCTGTCATTTTCTTCTTAAAAAATGTGCTTAAGAAAATATTTGAGAACTTAAGAATTGCACTTATTCACACCAAGGACAAAAACTATAACGATAATGATACCAATGTAGTTCTAAAATCATTCTAAACATAGCCAAAGTTTAATGATAATGGCACAGAGAAACTGTTATTGGAATCACTTTCAGAATTATTTTATTTCAGCTGATGATCGATTTAAAAACATTGACAGCCAATCAAAATCCATCCTGCTTTAAAGAGCTTGAGCATTAAAGCATCAGAACACATCAAAACTGCACCACATGCTTAGACAGAACATTGTTCGCTGACGTGGACACTAATATACTTATCGTTATCTTTATAGCTATTGTTCTTGGTGTGAACGTGCCTTTAGGTATGGAGGCTTGTTTCCGCCACTGAATAAAAAAATAAAATAAAATAATTGCGACTTTTTATCTCACAATTGCGAGATATGAAGTCAGAATTCTGAGAAATAAAGTCGCAATTGCAAGATATAAAGTCGCAATTATGAGAAATAAAGTCGCAATTGCGAGATATAAAGTCGCAATTATGAGAAATAAAGTCGCAATTGCGAGAAAAAAAAGACAGAATTGCGACTTTTTATCTCACAATTGCGAGTTTACATCTCGCAATTCTGACTTTATAACACATAATTGCGAGTTTATATCTCGAAATTCTGACATCTTTTCACAGAATTGTGAGATATAAACTCGCAATTGCGAGTTATCAGGCCAATTCTCTAAGGGGGAAAATAGACTCAACTTTTTCCCCCTCAGAATAGTTTATATCTCACAATTCTGACTTTATAACACGCAATTGCGACTTTATATCTCGCAATTCTGACTTTACATCTCGCAATTTTGAGAAATAAAGTCAGAATTGCGAGATGTAAACTCGCAATTGTGAGAAAAAAAAGTCAGAATTTGTGAGATAAAAAGTCGCAATTACCTTTTTTATTTTCATTCAGTGGCGGAAACAAGCTTCCATTTTAGGAACTTCTTGGAGTTAATCTAAAAAGTTTTCTTAACTTAATATTTCCATGCATCCCTCCCCTGAACGTCAGTGTGTTAGACACTAAAGCTTGCTGTCGTGTTGTCTCTCAGGGGTGTGTGCACGCAGGCGCCGTGTTACTGCATCATCATGGAGTATTGTGCACAGGGGCAGCTGTACGAGGTCCTCAGGGCCGGCCGTAAGATCTCTCCACGACTGCTGGTGGACTGGGCTTCAGGGATCGCCAGTGGCATGAACTACCTGCACCTCCACAAGATCATCCACAGAGACCTCAAGTCCCCAAAGTGAGACTCATCAGCCTCAGTTCAATAAAGTGTTGTTGTCACAATACCAACTTTTCAGTATTTGGAGCCAATACCAGTACAGTTTCACAGTTCTCCATACCAATTTGGTTCCATAACAAAAACTATTGAATTTATTTTACTATTCACCTATTTTATTGAACTATTTGAAAATAAAAATATGACATAAATTAAATAAGTTAATTATTAATGCTGATAAATAATATGTATACACTACCATTCAAAAGTTTTGAATAATTATGTTTTTTAAATATTTTTGAAAGAAGGCTGCGATTTATTGGATGAAAAATACAGAAAAAACAGTGAATTATTACAATTTAAAATAGCTGGTTTCTATGTGGAAATATATATTCCTGTGATGTAAAGCTGATTTTTCAGCATCATTACGCCAGTCTTCAGTGTCACATGATCCTTCAGAAATAAAATAGTCAAATAGAAAGACTATTTTAATTTGTAATAGTATTGCACAATATTGCTGCTTTTACTTTATTTTTGAACAAATAAATGCAGCCTTGGTGAGACTCTTTCAAAAAATAAATAATTTTAAGTATATTTAAAAACTAAGTATATTTAAGTATTTTTTAAGTTAAGTAACGTTACTTTGAAAAGGTCAAGTGAAAAGTTAATAATAAGAACAAAGTGTAAAGAAACAAATTACATATAGTTTGCATTTACACTCCAAGACTTTTGATATCACAATGTCAATCATTCCACATTTAAATGCGTTTGTCACTTGTGGAATTTTTTGAAAAAGCGAGTTTACACAAAACATTATTTTGTTTTTAAAAACTTTATTAACAAAGTAAGCCTCAGTTCAGACTCTTTCTTTATAATGAATTGGTAAAAAAAAGACTCTCAAATCAGTCTCAGACTCGTTAGCTACTGGTTTGATTCTTCTAAAGTCCTAAAAGAGTTGTTAATAAAACCATTAATATGACCATTAAAACCATTAATATGAATTGTTGAAATTATAACCAGAACTGTTGAATTTTTAATGATTCCCATCCATAGATTTAATGTGTATGTGCAAATTTTCCACCTTACCTCTGTGTGTGTGTTTTCTTTTGCAGTGTGCTAGTCACTCAGAATGACGGCGTGAAGATCTCAGACTTTGGAACATCTAAAGAGCTCAGTGACAAGAGTACGAAGATGTCCTTTGCGGGTACGGTAGCCTGGATGGCCCCCGAAGTGATCCGGAATGAACCGGTGTCGGAGAAAGTTGACATCTGGTGAGTGTTAACTAATGCAGTGACATTCACACATGTTTGAGTGTGATATAAGAGTCTTCTGCATATACTGTATGCTATATATACACTGTAGAGCTGCACGATTAATCGCTTAAAGATCGCTTTCTCGATTCAAACACCCACGCAATCTTATTCCTAATGACAGTGTCTATTAAACCTTTGACAATCACACCGAAACATTCAGATCTGCGCTCGTGCTGCCGCTGATCCGGAGAGCAGTTGTCATGTATAGATATGAAACGGCTTCACAGTCTTTTCATCACAGTAGGCCTGTTGTTATTGCTGTGTCACAGAAGTACTGGAATAAAAGTTTATAAAACGGATATAAACACTGATGACTACGTTAGCGATCAAAATACAGTAAATCACCTTTTGAAAGTTACTTGGCGCTTCAAATAATGACATGAATTACATCGTTACACCAGTAGATGGAGACAAGTGACGGTTAAAAAATGTATTCGTCATTGAATCATTAATTGAAGAGATTTGTTCAAAAACACTGATTCATCCAGTAATAAAACAAGTGAGATCTTTATGAGTGAGTCATTGAATCATTCATTCAAACGATTTTAAAAAAAATAATTCTTTCAAGTGAATTAAATATTTTAAAATAGACTGCAGCAATTAACATTTTGTCAGAACCTCTAGTAAATTACTTGTCTGTTCAGACTCGTGGGAATATAGTGATCTCTATTTGAAAAAGCAAAAAATATGATTTTTAATTTATTCAGAATCATGCTCTAATACATCGTACATTTTTAAAAAAAAGAAATTAATACTTTTATTCAGCAAGGATGCATTCAATTGATCAAAAGTGACAGTAAAGACATTTATAATGTTACAAAAGATTATATTTAAATACATGCTGTCCTATTCTTATATTCAGAATAAAAAAAAAAACAATTATCAAGGTTTCCATAAAAATATTGATGATTACGAGACACTGATGATTATGAGAAATGTTTCCTGAGCAGCAAATCCTCATATGAGAGTGATTTCTGAAGGATCATGTGACACTGAAGACTGGAGAAATGATGCTGAAAATTCAGCTTTGATCACAGGAATAAATTACGTTTTACATTATATTCACATAGAAAACAGTTATTTGAAATTTTAATGATATTTCACAACTTTACTGTATTATTAATCAAATGAATGCAGCCTTGGTGAGCAGAAGAGACTTCTTTCAGAAACATTACACATTCTTTCCGACCCCAGACTTTAGATTGTTGCATCTGTGTGTTTGCAGGTCGTTTGGCGTGGTGTTATGGGAGCTGCTGACCGGCGAGATCCCCTATAAAGACGTGGACTCCTCCGCCATTATCTGGGGTGTGGGGAGTAACAGCCTCCATCTGCCTGTGCCGTCCACGTGTCCCGACGGATTCAAGATCCTTATGAAACAGACCTGGTGAGACTCCACGTCATCTGTGCGGCTGCTGCATTTATAATGGAAAACTTTATGCTGTTGTTTATGGAATGAAGGGTTACACCTTTATTTTAAGGTGTCATTGTTACTGTGTAATTATATATGTAAGTACTGAGTAATCTTAAGCAACTACTATTGGGATTTGGTTAGTTGGATGTAATTATGCATAATTTACTGTTATTACTATGGGAAGTACATGTAACAAGGACACTGTAAAATAAAGTGTTACCAAATTAAGCTACAAAAATGAAAGACATAAAGTACAAGTTGAGTGAAATCAATTGTTTATATACTATGTAAGAAGAAAGATTATCAAGTGAAACTACAGTAGCTGTGTAGAAAATCAATTATAAAACTAGATTTAATTAAATAAAAGCCTGGAAATTTTTTTGAAGTAGTTGAAAACTACTGAAGCAGATTTAAGGCAAATCAGTCTCTCTTGCTAGGGTGTTTGATGGATTGTTCTGGATTTGCTGTGATTGACCAATCAGAACCAAGTATATGCGAGTGTTCTGTAAAACATGGTTTTATTGGTTGTTTGAGATGTTGTTCTTGTACCTGCAGGCAGGGCAAACCCAGAAACCGGCCGTCCTTCAGGCAGATCCTTCTACATCTAGACATCGCCTCCGCTGATCTGCTCGGGACGCCACAGGAGACATACTTCAAATCTCAGGTGAGGGAATCTTGATGTCTGCATACAGTAGTCCATCTAGAGGAGTCACTGTGTCATCCAGAGGTATCACTGCCGTCTTCAGTTGTGGAGGAGGGCAAAACAAACATGAAGCACTTGTCCAACTGTTTCTTAATTCTCGAATTGTTTTATGATTCAGAATTTAATTTGCAAATTGGTTGCAACGACAAACATGCAGCGTGAAAATGGTTGTGATTCATGAGCGAGTCAGTTCTTTGTAATGAATCAGTCAAAAATACTCATTTTCTGGTTCGATTCTTCTACTAAAAGAGTTATTAAAACTTATTTTTATGATTCCCTTCCATAGATCATAAAAATGTGTATGTATGTGTGTGTCTGTGACCAATGTTATTTTAGTATTATTGTTTTGAATCATCTATATTTTCTGTTTTCAATTCATTTTAGTTTAATATTATGTGCTTTTATCATTTTTATTACTTTTTTTAGTTTTTAAATAATTTTATTTAGCTTTAATATATTCCAATTTGAGTGTTTTTAATTCTGACTTATTTTTATTTCAGTTAGTTGCCAGAATTTCGCATTCAATTTTTTTTTTTTTTAAGTTTGTCTTAAATTGTAAGATTAATTTCAATGAGTAAAACTGATTTTGAATGTTTTAGTTAACAATAACACTGTCTGTGACAGGCGAATTGGAGAGAAGAGGTGAAGAAGCATTTCGAGAAGATCAAGAGTGAAGGAACCTGCATCCATCGCCTGGACGAGGAGCTCATCCGCCGCAGAAGAGACGAGCTGCGGTCAGTGAGACGAGAGAGGACAGAAACACCTCATGCTGTTACTGTGTGTGTGTGTGTGTGTCTCCGTTCTCACTGTGGTCTCTGTGTCTTTCAGACATGCTCTGGACATCCGAGAGCATTATGAGAGGAAACTGGAGCGGGCCAATAACCTGTACATGGAGCTCAGCGCTATCATGCTACAGCTGGAGGTGCGAGAGAAAGAGCTGCTCAAGTGAGTTCTCAAACTTTTCTTGTTCGCTCATTTCAACCAATTATTCCTCACAGTAAAAATCTGGTTCAAATAATCAAGGCATGTTTTCACTAAGTGAACACAAGGAACTATCATATTTATTCATTTTTATGCACCAATATAACAATACACAGTCATAAACCGCAATATTTACATATATTGACAAAAAAAAAATGTAATGCTGTTTTTATTTTATATTTGAGTGATTTAAATGAATCTCTGAATTGATTCTTTGAACTAATTCACAGTAATGAATCAAGCTCTAATGCATTTTTTATGACTGAACTGAAGTGTAAACATCTTAAAAAGAAACTAGTTGCCATAATCTTATAAATTAATCTGGTTATTCAATTTGTTTTTTTAATCTGGTAATTAATTGCTAGAATTACTTCTGGTTGGTAGTCTAATAAAAAAATGCATCCAGTAAGAGATGTTAAAAATCACTGCTGATATTACTTTATTCATTCATCACACTGGAAATGGAAGGTCAGGCTGTGCACATTGCATTGTGGGATACAATACTGCACTCTGTGTGATCTGCTATTTTTAACAAATACAGTAGATCAACTGAATATTGCATGCATACAGAAACTGTGCGTACTTAACACTGTAAGCAAGCATTCTGTACACTGCAGTCGTATGATAGTATATGGTAGTTTTGAACGTGTGTGTGTGTCTGTGCTCTCTCTCTCTCTCTCTCTCTCTCTCTCTCTCTCTCTCTCTCTCTCTCTCTCTCTTGGGTTTCTCTGTTTATTGGCATGAAATTACTCATGAAAGGCTGTAATGATTCTGAACTCTGACCCCGTGTGTGCCTGAACGCTGAAACTGTAATTAAGTCTAATCTGCTTAAACCTCGACCCGGCTCGTGCAGTTCATGCCAGAATATCCATGACCCACATTTTCACTGAACGAGCACACAACGATCATTCAGTGAAATCCTCTAGCACAGACCTGAATGTTTGCCTGTGAGATCTGAACGTTCCCCATGTGTTCCTGCAGGAGGGAGCAGGCGGTGGAGAAGAAGCACCCCGGCACGTACAAACGCCACCTGGTCCGGCCCATTGTGCGACCCAACGCTGTCGAGAAGCTCATCAAGAAAAAGAGTAGCATGAACCATAAGCCTGGGACACAGCCGCCCAAGAGGTGACCGGTCCCTGAACACATGGGCTCATGTGCTGTTTGTTGTGTAGCGATTCCATAAACTAGGGTTCACGACCCCTGGGGGTTCATGAGGGAACTGCAGGGGGTTCGTGAGTTGATGTAAAGCAATTCATTAATTTAATAAAGTAAATAAAACAATTAATTAATCATATAATATAATATATAGATAATACAAATAATTATTTCAAAAATAATAAAAAATAAAATATTTTTTAAAATGAAATAGTTATTAAAATGCATGAATTATTTATTTAAAATGATAAATATCAATAATAATAATATATTTAAAAATAAATTATATATAAATGAAACTAATGTTTCAAGAAAAGTGAATAATTTATAAAAAAATAATTAATTTAAAAAAACAATAATTAAAATAATTAGTTTTTTATTTAAAATAATAATAATTTAAAAATGAAAAGGTCATAATTTATAAAAAATTAATTTATCATTGTTTTTTTTTTAAATGCATTAAAAATTAAAGTCATTTAATAATTTAATGTATTGTGATCATTACCCAACATTGGAGAACAGTAAACATGCAAATATGTTTAATTAAAATGAAGAATAATAAAAATTATTCCAAAATTAAAGCAATTAATATAAAACACAAAGTGGTTTGACTGTCAGAAATCCCTGGTTTAAGTGATATCAAGTGTTACTGAAACAAGCGTGACAAAAAAAAAACACATTATACAAATGAAAGATCTCATTTAATATTTAATTTGAATGTGAATATGCAAACATGGTTGGATAATTTACTATATATACTGTGCCAAATGAAATGGTATCAGTCATGAATTCTC